ACACACACACACACACACACACACAAACACACACACGTACACACACCCATACACAACCCCACCTGCTTGGCTCTACAAAGTTAAAATTCAAAGCGCTCTTTGTAGTCATATACCCCCAAGGACAGCTAGAAAAACAAATGAAGAGGTCCTGGTTGAAGCAAATTATAGAAGACAATTATCACGAATTTGAGAAAACGACAGGCAAATTTCTTCGGACACACAATGCGGAAAGAAGCATTAGAGAATATTGTAATAACAGGAAAGTTTGATGGAAAGAGAGGCAGAGGCAGGCAGAGGGAAAAGATACTGGACAAGATGACAACATGGCTGGGAGCAGCCAGAACAACAGACACCATTGCTGCAGCGCAGGACAGGGTAAAGTGGAGGTCCATGATCGCCCACACCAGTCGGCAAGGCACCGCATGATGATGACCCCCTAAGGTTCACACAACTTCACCGTATTATCCAGTAAAAGTAAACTTTAACCCCCCAGTTGGGTACATAACTCAGTTTTGACCCAGTACGCGCATCCTGTGGTCTACTTGGTTGTTTTTAGTTGTGGCAGGGGGTTAGGCCTAGCCTATTGTATTGTTTGGCTGAAAGTGTGAGAGTGAGTAAAGTGTGAGTCTCAGTTCAGTTGTATTGTTTGCTAGTTTATAAAAGCAGTCTGGGTTACTAGAGGTTAGACTTTAGAGGGGAGAGCTGTAGCAAGGCAGAGGAGGCCTGCTGAGAGTATAGGTGGAGAAAAGGCAAGTTAGAGCATCGGTTTGTTTGTGTGTAGCGTGTGAGATTCCAACGCATCAGGGCCCCAAAACTGAGAAAAGGATCACAACACAGAGAGAAACAGGTTTGGCTAACACCTGTTGTAGGCGCAGGCAGACAGAAGGTCAGTAGTGTTAAACATTGTTTTATGTTCCAAGTAACAACACATCCGTATCCCCACATACTCTGTGGTGAAACGCCTTAGATATATACACACTATAGCCACGTCACCACAGACGTCAGTCAAGTATTTGTACGATGATGAAAACAGTGAAGAACCCCCCCCCCCTAAAAAAAAAGGAGAAGAAGGGGAAAAAAAGAAACAGCAAGAAGAGATTAAAGGTTAAAAAAAACAAAAAACAAAACAAATGTAGAGTGTGCTGACTAAATGAGTTACTTCTCGGATTAGGGCCGTTTGGAAATAGATACATCATGCTTATTATAAGTGAAGTTTTTATAATTTGTAAATGTGAAATAACAAAAGGCATTTACTACTTAATAAATATTGCATCAATAGGAAACCTAGAAATTTGACCCAAGTGTCGATCGCGATTTTTGGTCAATATCTCCATTTGTGGACTGTGAGAAGTAACTCATTTTGTCAGCACACCT